AAGAGGATAATTTTGCAAGGAAATTTGGTAAAATAAAAGGCATTTCCAATCATGAATATGGAAGAAAGTTTGAAATTCAACTGTCTATAACGTGCATGTGGCTAAAAAAGGTTGTATGGAAGAAAACAAAAGCCAAAAAAAAAAAAAAAGTCTCAAATGTAATAAAATGTTAATCCTTTTGTAGGGTTGTTAGTTGGCAATTATTACACCCTGAAATTAAACAAATCAGATAGAATTTTGATTTAAAAAGTTACTCTACCAGATTATCGCAGCCATTAGATATTTACCATTGCTCAAGGTCTACAATAACTGGTGCAAAACGGAAACTACATCCATGCTTATTTTAACTCTAGAGAATACTATTATTTTCCCTTCAAACTTGTTAGGTACTGAAATTGTTAATTGAGTTAAAGTTGGTCTCAAATGCTGATTGTCTTGTAATTCATGATTAATTTGATAAAGTTACCGATCTATTTGAAGTTTTAATTTGTTGACTAATTAATATGTACTTGAAATATACTTGCAAGTTATATATACCTATTTAGAAAGAAAAAAAAATCACTGAGTTTTTGTTCGCCCAGTAAAAATATTATAAAATGAATTCTCAAAAAGTTAGAAGAAGTATTAGCATGGTAAGATTAACTAGAGGTAGCAAATCTCAATAAATTTATTATTATTAAGAGTAAAAAAGGATAAAAAAGAGTGAAAAATCAATCCACGTTAATTATATATATTCATGGATAGTGTTTGACTGTTTGCTATGAGTTTGCTTTTTCAATCCAGTGTCATCCTATTTGTATTTCTATCATATCAGTTAACAACTCCAAAACCTGACAATACTTGGAAGAAATCAAACTTCATGTTGGAAAGACATCGCGTATAATTGGAGGAGTGAAGTGAATTGAGTCAAATCTGCGCATATAATTGCAGGTTATTCCTTTATTTATCAGTCATTTCTAGTGTTCCTACTATAGACCATTCTTACAGGCCACCAGGTCTAAGTAGTCACTTTCAGAAAAAAATTTCTTCTCCAATGCAGTATCATGAATCGATTTCGCTATGTTCTACATGTGATTGTGAACAAATAACTCCAAAACAGTGGGACCTCTGGATGGATTATTTGGTTGATCACGGACAGCTCTGATTATTTTTCTTTTCCTCCTTGCTTCACATCAACTATTATTACATTTTGAAATATGTTTAATTATATTTTAATTTTATCTAAAATTATAATATTCAATGATATATAAATACACCTGTAAACATATTTGTAACCAACAGATTAAGTAAAGAGTATTAATTTTTAATACTTAGTAGATATTGAATATATATGAAAATCTTTTATCTATCATTATTTAAGTCAAATAAAAATATAAATAAATACTTAACCTATACATATACTGCTCACCCTGATCACCCCCCAATTTTCATGATTAAAAGCCAATAACCCGTGATAATGAATCATATTTAAAAGTGGTGCGAAATAATGAAATTGGGAAATAGAAAAAGGGGGAGAGCGTGTGGGGTTTGCATAATACCCAGCCGGCGCTTTTTGACCTTGCATTGGGTAAAGCATTCCATAACATTTCCTTAATTCAAAAAATAAATGGGTTTTTAATTATTATATTTTTTTCATTATTAAATTAGATTTCAATTCATGCTTCGCTCAGTTTCTATGTAGTATTTTCTTTAAATTTTTATAATAATAATTAATTTTAAATATATTTTAAAGTTTTTTTAATATTTTATAATTTTAAATATATTAATTTAAAATAAAAAAGTTTCAATCATAAATATAAAAAAAATTAAGTGTACAATTAATTTGATTTTTAAAAATAAAAGATAAAATTTTATAATTTATTACTATATTACTAAATTACGTTATACTTTCGGGGCTGACCAACCTCAACCTGATTGGAGACTGATAAGAGCAGTACTAGGGGCACTCGCCTCTTGCACTCTCCGGCCAACACTTCCCCTTTCATTGGGCCACGTAAGCTTGTTCAGCCTTCAAGTGCAACCTCTTACCAACTAGAATAACGTGGCCCAAATAAAGTGAAAGTGTTGGCTGGAGATTGCAGAAGGCGAGTGCCCCTTGCACTCCTCGACTGATAAAAGTCAGAAACATCTGTCTGTCCGTTTTCTTAATTTATTTTATAACTAAATTATTAATTAGTTCCACACTAAGTAGATTAAAATCATTTTTGTCCTTTAATCTCTCATTGTTATAAATTTAGCATCTAAGCCTTTTAAAAGTTTAGAGTTTAAATTTTTTAGAGTTTGATTTTCTGTGTCAGGGTTTAAATTTAGCGGTGCGTAGAATGTCAGAGTCTAATTTTTTGTTTATAATTTAATTTTTAAGGAAGTTAAAGTTTAAATTTTTTAGAATTTGGGGTGTTATGGTTTCAGTTTATATTTTATTAAGATTTAGTATTTAAGGTATTAGGTTTTAGATTCTTTTAAGATTCAGTATTTAATATTTAAAGTTTGGTTTATTGAGACATAAGATTTAATAATTTCAATATTAAAAATTAAAAGACCTAAAAATAAAGAATAGAGTCTAAAAACTAGAAACATATAAAAGTTATAGGGACCAATCACCTATTGGTTGATTGGCCTTTATAACATTACTGTAATAAATTATAAAAATTTGTTAATCATATATCTCTCTATATTGATAAATTGTTTGATATTATTCTCTCTCCCCTATTATCTTTTCCTTAATTGTCTCATATTTTTATTTATATATATATATTACATTTTTCTCAATTTCTTACATTAAGACCGGACATATGTTCATATTTTTCTATGAAGCACATTCAATTCTTTAGTTTGTTTTGTCATCATACACTTATATTATTATTATGCATTTTAATTTAGGCTTAACTTAGTGTATGTATCTCTCCTTATTTCTATTTTTTAAACTGATATTTTTCACATTATTTTATCTTTTCATTATTTTTTGTGTCTATTTCACCTTTACTTTTGTCATAACTCGATTTTTCATTCAGTATTAATCACAAAATTAATAAAAAAAACAAAAAAAAGTACAAAAATATAAAAATATGAAATTTTCTCTTTTCTTTGACTAATATATCTTTATTTTGTTTCGGGGTTATGCGTAAAGCGAAATTCAAGAAGAAACGGGAAAAGGAAATCAAGACAAGGGACTCGATTGAAGAAATCAAAACGTGGAGGGGTGAAGTTCATCAAAATGAATTGACAAGTCCAACCCAATTACCTAAAAAACCCAAACCCAAAACCCACCAAAACCCAAAGCCCACCAAAACCCAGAACCAAGCCCAAATCCAAACTACCCAAAAACCCAATTACCGAAAAAAAAAGAAAAAGAAAAGAAAAGGGGGTCTGGAATCCTCCCTTTTCCGTTTTGCTCGCCGCGAACAGGCCCTCCTGCGCCCCCTTGCTTGCTGCACCTGCGCCTGTGCCCTGCTGCACCTGCGCCTGTGCCCTGCTGCACCTGTGCCTGCGCCCTGCTGCACCTGCGCCTTGCTGAGCCCGCGCCCTGCTGCACCTGAGGTTGCGCCTTGCTGCACCTGAGCTTGCGTCTTGCTGCACCCGAGCCTGTGCCTTGCTGCACCCGAGCCTGTGCCTTGCTCCACCCGAGCCTGCGCCCTGCTGCACTGGAGCCTGTGCCCTGCTGCACTGGAGCCTGTGCCCTGCTGCACTGCGCCCTACCCCCTGCTGCGGATCCCTTACTGCTTGCGTGCACCGAGCCTCCACTCTGCCCCAGCCTGCACTCTGCTGCGCCCGCCCTTGCTTCCTGCACCAGCTTTGCTCTGCACCAGATCCCCTTGCCCTGCACCAGATCGCCTGCACTCTGCTATGCCTGTGCCCCTGCTGCGCCCCTGCCTCCTGCACACTACAGCCATACAGAAAAAAACAGCCAATAGCAGACAAATTTGGCATCATTAGTGACTGTTTTTTTCATTTTTATTTCATTTTGTTGCTTGGGTCTATATTTAGAGCAAAAGCAGAATACAGAAGGGGGGTCTTTGGGGTTGATTTTTGAGTTTGATTGGGCGGGTCGGTTTTTTGAATTTGGGGAGCCTTTGGTTGATTGTTGGAGTTTGATTTGGAGCCATTGTTCTGGGTTTCGGGAGAAAAGAGGGAGGAGAAAACCGAGCTGATTCCGGTAAGATTCCGGCAATATTTCAGCCTCCTTTTGCTAGGTAATTTCTGAACAAAGGAGCCTTCTGGGAACGATGGTGAAGGAGACGATAGGAGCCTGGTCCCGTGGGTGGGATCCCTCCCATCTGATCTGGATCCATCTTACCCAAAAAGCTCTGCCGTGGGTGTTTTTCTTATTTTGGTTGATGTTTCTGCATCTTTTTGTTTAATGTTCAAGCTTGTACATGTTCCGTTTGAAAATCAATGAAAATCAAAAATCAAAAAAAAAAATTATTCAGTTTATTTTCTGATGAATGTGTTGCTGTTACTGGAAATTACATGAATCCTAGTTTTCCCGTTTTGGTTGCCTGTTTGATCTTCTTTTTGTCTATTTTTATGCTTGAATCGTGTTTTTCGGTCGGGTCAGTCCGATTTAATCCAATAAAAAAAAAAAAAAACTAAAAAGGTTAAAAGGTAAAAAAAAAATCAAAAGTTATCTCTTTTATTTCAATTTCGCACAATCCTTTCCTATTCAAGCACTTTAGTCCAAAAGTTTCAAACCTTTTCAAATCAGTCCTTTATTTTTATTTTAATCAAATCAGTCCATTTAATTTTTATTTGTGTTTATTGTGCATGCATGTTCTTGATTTTTGTCTATTTCAGTCCAAAAATAAAAAAAAATGTTTTGATTCGGTTTATCTCTTTTTTCAAGTTTACTTATTAAGACTCAAACATAAATGTAATAAATAAGTTAAATCAAAACTCCCAATGTTAAAGTATGCAACCGTGTTTAAACGGAGGATTGTGAGGTGCGCGTATACCCTTCCTCACTCCTAACCGAACCCCCGAACCCCAATCTCTGCGCAGACTCGTTTTAGGTGACTTGTCCCACCTTATAATTTGAACGAGTGGCGACTCCCCTTTTCTTTTATATTTTCACACTTAATCCCTTTTAAGTGGTCGTCAACAACTTTCTCATATTATCTTTGTATGTAGGTGTGTGTATATATATATATATATCTTTTTAAATCCCTCTCTATATTAGTAATTTATTTTTTAATAGCTCTTTATCCCTTGTCATCCCATCTCTCTTGTTCTTTCTTAATATTTTGTTGCATATATATCTTTCTATCATTATATATCCTTTTCACCCAATTTGTCTTCCTTTCCCTCCCTTTATATATTAGAAATGTTTTTAACTCAAAACATAAAAGGCTAGACTTAGCATTATTTTCTTGGTATTTAATCTTTTGCTTACTTTTGGAAAATAATTGATATATACTCAATTCAACACATTTTTTCACATTCATTCGGTTCAACTATTAAATATAATATAAGTACAATATAATTTAGTCAATTCTTATATCCTGTATGCAAAGTTGCATTTTTAAATTTGTTTGTTTTCAATTTCAGATAAAAAAACAATAATTTTTTAATGAATATGTTGTATAATGCGTTAAATTAGAATATATACTAATTAGTGTCCCTTACCTTTAATCTGCCTTAATTAATTTTTGTTAAGACTCAATCTCTTGGCTTCTCCCCTCACATTTTATATCATTACATTTAATTCTTTACCATACATATTATTCTTTTTTTATTACACTCTCATCTCTATCACTCTTTCTTAAGCATTCTATTTATCTCAATCTATCGTTATATGTCTTATTTTGACCATTTTCTTCTATTTAACATATTTTTATGAGAAAAGTTTTATGTAAAAACATAAATGACGCAATTTAATATTATTTTCCTAATACTTTTTCACTTGCCTTTACTTCTATCATTATTTTTTTTTGGAACTCTATCTTTTAGCTCCCCTTCTCTAATTCATCTCTATATTAATAGTTTATTATTATTATTATTATTATTATTATTATTATTATTATTCTTTCACCTTTCTAAGTTTTCTTTCTAGATTATTATTTCTTAATCATTCCCTCTATCTCAATTTATCATTATATATATCTTTTTTACCCTTATTTTCATTTCTCTCCCATTGTCAATATAGAAATGTGTTTGGCTAAAACATAATCGGCATAATTTCTTAACATTATTTTCTAGTTCTTGTTCACTTGTCTTTTCTCTGCTTCGTTAATTATTAATTTTTCTTATGACTCAATCTCTCAACTTCTTACTCAACTTTTTATCTTTTTACCCTACATTTGCCCTCTCTTTGCTTCTTTAGATTATTTTTTCTTACGATTCAATCCTCTTTTGGGTTGTCTTTTTATAAATTCAATATTAAAATCCCAAAAAAAGTTTTAACAAGACTTCATTACAAAATTTACCAATTTTACTTATAGTACTTGATAGGTTAAATTTTTATACAAAATATGATGCTAATTTAGCCTTGATTTTATTAATATTTGAATTGATTTAATATGATATTGCTCAATTTTACATGATTTTCTCTATTTGTGTAGGATAGGACTTAATAATCTTTAAAAATAATAAATTTGGAACTAAATCATAATGTTCCATAAGGTAAAAGGATATATAAATTGAGGAGATTGAGAACCAAATTGTAGAATTCTAAAATTTAAGGACTAACATGTTAAAATTCTATAAAGTTGAGAACCAATACTATAGTTTTACCATTAAGGAAGAAACAAAAGTGCAATATGGAATTATGTCGCGCACCACTTTTTTTTTTTTATGTAAGATTTATGGAAGAATTTAAAATTTTTATAATATAGTAAAGAATAGTAAGATAATAATGTAATTTTTAGAAGTCCTATATAATAATTAAAATTTGAGTCTAAATTTCGTTTGAATTTAAATTAATGTCTAGAAATTGAATTAAGTAGGGTAATAATATACAATTTTAATGGTAATATTAGACTCTTAAATTTGAGATGAGTTTTAAACATTTAAAAAAGACATATTGGATATTTATTTGAGATTTTATGAGTATTTTTAAAGGATTTATTGAAGATTTTTAAGGGATTTATTGAGAATTTTTAAAGGCCCATTAGGTATTTATTCAAGATATATTAACGATTTTAACAATTTTTATAATATAGTAAGATTACATCAAAAATGAATTTTAATTTTATCAATTAATCTATTAAAATAATAATTTATCTACCATGTATTCTTAAATAAAGAGTAATTATTGAGAAATAATTATTACTTTTTATTTTAAAAAAAAGGATATATTTTAATTATAAATATCACATCTTAGTTTTTATTGATCCATTTTAAATTAAAAATCAAAACTTGTAATTTTAATTTAAAATTTTACCTATCACAAAAAAAAAATTATAATAATTAATTATAATATTGTTCCTTTAGATCGACAAATCCTTAAAATAATATGTGTGACAATGATATTAAAATTAGTTTTAATTTTTTTTATACAACTTAGGTTAAAAAATATAGTAATAATTACATCTTAAATGTCCCTTAAAAATATATATTAAAAAACTTTAAATAAAATAAAATAATTTGACAGATGGCAATTTATAGGAAATATGGTGAATCTGTTACTAACTAAACTTTCAATCAAGAATTAACTAACTAAACTTTTCAATCAAGAACTAACAACAAAATGCAAAAATTGTCATTAGAATGGTATAGGCTCTCTACTGTTCGAAGAATTGTGATTTTTGTTTTTTTTCTTTCTTTTGCATTATTTTTTTGTTCTGTTCACTGGCTTTTTCTTTTGATGAAAAGCTGAAAACGCGTTTTGGAAAAGTGGTGAGAAAGGGGTGCAGGTGCATTTCATAGTGCCATTGTTATTGTAAATTGCCTTTGATGCAACATCTGTCTTTACTTTTGGTTCAAAGTTTCAAACTTTATTTTGGGTTGTTTATTTTAACCAAAAAAAAAAAAACTGTTTTTAGGCCCTTTATATTTAAGAAAAAAACATAGGGTTCATTTCAATAATCATTTACAGTAGAAGAGTATAAATAACTTCTTCACTATTCTCAAATAAGCTCTTAATTGGAGAGAAACTATTAAATCTATTAAATTAGTTATTAGTAATATTAACTCTAATTGATTATATATTCAAAATATTGTGTACATTTTTTTATTTTATCTTTCAATAACAAAACTTTTAATAACCTTAAAATGTTCCTTAAACTTAATAGACCTAATGGTTTCTATTCAATTGGAATCTTATTTGAGAATTTCAATGACTTTGGGATCTTATTTGAGTGCAATAGAACTTTGAGATCTCAATTGTGAATTTGGTGAAAATTTGGGACCATCCCTAACTTAAGCTTCAATTCCTTGCAGTTTCAACATTCTACATAACCATCCCTAACTTGTCGTCAACTTTAAGTATATTCTGTGAATGCTCTTCAAAACTTTTGGGTTTATACAATCAAAATAAAAACGCTTTGGTTTATGATACCGAAACCCAAATAGAAAACACGTGTTAAAAGAGTGAGCTAAATGTTTAGGTTATACCAAATCGTAGTAAGTTTTAATTTATTATAATTAAATTAATTTTAATTAATGTTTTGTATAATTTAATAATTATATTAATGTATAAAACTCTTTTTAAAGTAAAATATTAAAAAAAGTACAACCACAAGACTTTACGTCAATTTCAAACACAAATTAAATTAAATTCAAATTTCTTAATGATCACAATATATATAATTTCTTACTAAATTAATTTTTTATTAGGGACCAAAAAGAACTTTTTTAAGTGTGGGGACGAATAATGGACTTTCCACCAAAGTACAGATACCAATTGGGGTTTTAATAATGTAATTAAATTAATCATTTTCTTTTTTTTTTTAAGGAAAAATATTAATCATTATCTTAATCCAAGAGCGGAAGTCCTCGTCTCCTTCCTCTCCGTTCTTTAATTTCCCCTTCCAGTGTTAACACTTATAGAAATATAAAGAGGAGAAAAACATAAAAATATATTATGAACTCTTTTTTTTTTTTTTTTTAATTTTATTAAATATAGGAAGTGTTTATTTATATCCTTATATAAAAAAAATTTTATAATATAAAATTAATTAATTTAATTATATTAATTAATTATAATATAAATTTAATTAATATAATTATAATATAAATATTTTGTAACACCCTTTCAACTTAATGTGTAACGAGAGATCAATTTGAATTTGAAAAGAAGAGTGCGGAAGTGTTCATGAAAATTAATCTTTATCTTAATCCAGGAGCGGAAGTCCTCGTGTCCCTCCTCTTCGTTCTTTAATTTCCCCTTCCAGTGTGAACACAATCTCTTGCTTTCTCTTTCTTTGGAAAAATGAGATTCAAAATCCTCTCTCTCTCCATTGCCTTTAATTTCCCTGGGTTTAGTTGTCTCTAAGCCCGTTTGTTTCCTTGCT